CAAAAATCTTTCTTGAAGTGACCCGGTTTGTTACAATTCCAACAAAACACTTTAGCCTTCTTGTTGGAAGACTTGTCATCCTTTCCTTTAAACTTCTTTTTCCATTAGACTTCTTTTGATTCTTTGATCCTTCTCCATCAACCATGTTCATAGAAGAGGGACCAACTTGGTTCTTGCCTTTAGGATTGTTATCAAGTTCTTGAGTCCTTAAGGACTCTTCAATCCGTAAATGGCTTCCAAGTTGAGTCAAAGTCAATTTCTCTTTGTTATGTTTCAGATTGTGTTTAAAATTCTTCCAGGAAGGCGGCAGTTTGTCAATGATCACAACCACATAAATAGCTTCATCCATTTTCAGATTGTGTTGAGCAAACTGTCCCAGGATCCTTAACATTTCATGGAATTGTTACATAATAGGCTCGGAGTCAACCATCTTGTAACCCATAAAGCTACCAACCAGAAATTTCTTACTAGAAGCATCTTCAGTTATGTAGTTGGATTCAAGAGAGTCCCATAATTCTTTTGCAGATTCAACATTTTGATAGATGTCAAAAAGAGAGTTATAAATACCATTGAGAATATGACCACAACAGATGTAGTCATCATTGTCCCACTTTGATCTCCTCCTTGTTTCATCCAATGCTTCATCTTCAACAAATTTTGGCATGGGTGTACTCAGAACATACACCACTTTCAGAGTGGTCAATAGGAACTTTATCTTCTTTTTCCATCTACGAAAGTTTTGGCCTTCAAACTTCACCAAATTATCAAACTTGCTTGTTATTTCCTTAAAAGAATTGCCACTTGCCACATTCACAAAAATACTTAATCTTTGTTAGAAATTTGGGGCACAGAAAGGCATGGAAATTCTGAAAATTGTGACATCACTTTTAGATTAAAGTATTTGGGTGGTACTCCTAATCTTTAATCGGATAAGACTCATAATATATATATATATATATATATATATATATATATATAGTCTACTTAAATTCCACGTATGTCTTTTAACCAAACTTGAACCCAGAAAAACCTTTTAGACAAATTTGTAAGAATGGTCCCTCTCGTTAGGTGAGAATTGTCACTTTGGTCCAAATAGGTTTGGACTAACACCATCATTTGCACCACCACCTGTTCGAGCCAGAAACACTATCACAACCGAGACAACCTTCCACCAAAATTTGTTGTTCGTCCGTGTTGCGACGACAAAACTCTAATCGGAGTTAGAAACACAAACAACATCACTGCCAGCAACACTGGTCCACAGTCTGCCATTTTTGGTAGAGCTTGATGATGAGGGGAACTTGATTCTCAAATCTACAACGCGTGAAACTTTGATCGGTGTTTTCTACTTTTATTGGGGTTCTTAAAGTTAGAGTTGAGGGTTTGTGCAAATTTGTGTTGTTTTCCTTGTCCTACGAGAGAGAGAGAGAGAGAGAGAGAGAGAGAGGGTATTTTATTTTTGTTTTATTTTTAATTATTTTTTAATTGTTGTAATAAAATGAAATAAAAAATTAAATAATAAAGGGCAAAATCGTATTTATAAAAAAATTCAAACCAAATTGGAACAAACTCACAAAAAAATGAAACATTTGGACCTCTGTTACTAATCTAAACCTATTTAGACCAAAGTGACAATTTTCATCTAACCACAAATAACATTCTTACAATTTTGTCAAAACCTTTGGTAAATAATTTTATAGGGATAATGACTTAAAAGGGTAATATATTTTTCGATTTTTACATATTTGGTCACTGAGTTTTTTTTGTCCACATTTACCCCTTCAACTTATTAAACTGTACACATTCAGTCCTTATGACCGGCTACTCCAGGTTAGCCGGTAAAAATGACTTAATAGGGTAATATATTTTTTACTTTGTACACATTTAGTCCTTAATATATATATATATATATATATATATATATATTGAAAAATAAGTTATTTTTTTGTACTCATTCAGTACTTATGAATGGTTTCTTTAAGTTTTTCTCACGACATCTTACGTGGGACAATCATTAATGAGGTGTTTGGCGCTTTTGATACTTATGTCCATCGTGATCTCGACTACCTGGTTGCTTAGGTCATTTGTTCTAAACGTCATAACTTCATCCGATCTTGGATTTTAACGATCTTTATATCCATACGTTCGTATTTTAGTTTACTATAACTTTCGTTTAAATTACTCTCGTTAAAAAGTAATATATTTTTACTTAAGATCTTTATATCCATACGCTTTTTTATGAATATATTTATGGATGTTTTTTTTTATAAAATCGTAAGTAAAAATATATAACATTTTATCAAAGGTATTTTGGCCTAGCGGTAAAGAGGACTCTCTCAAATGAGAGGTCGTTGTTCAGGTCTCTTAGGAGACATATGTTATATTTAGGAGTATATTAGTTAGTTTGCCGTTTTAAAAAACTATATATTACATTTTAACAGGAAAAATCTTAACAAAAGTTGTAGTAGACTCAAAAAAGCGAACACATGAATATAAAGATCATTAAAATCTGATATCATATGAAGGAGTTACGACGTTCAGAACACAAAATCCTAGTCAAACTACAAGACATACGCAACAAAGCAGTCGAGATCGGGATGGAAGAAAACATCAATAGCCTTAAACACCTCATCAATGATTGTCCCACGTAAAATGTCGTGAGAAAAATCTAAAGAAATCATTCATAAGTATTGAATAAGTACAAAAACGAAAAAGACTTAATTTGAAACAAAAAAATATTAAAGACTAAATGTGTACAAAAATAATAAAGACTAAATGTGTACAAAATGAAAAATATATTACTATATTATGTCATTTTTTCCGGCTAACCTGGAGTAACTGGTTATAAGGACTGAATGTGTACAGTTTAACAAGTTGAATGAGTAAATATGAACGAAAAAAATTCAATCACCAAATATATAGAAATCAAAAAATATATTACCTTTTTAAATCATTGTAACTCGTTTTATATAAAAAAAAATGAGTTTTTGACGATAAGGGTGTTTTTAAAAAAAGTATTTACCATATAGGTATGGTTTTGAAAGTATTTACCAAACTAGGTTATTTAACCATTTAGTAAAAAAACACAATCGTGCCCTAATCTCCTCTTTACTGGACGACACAAACAACTGGGGAAGAAAATACGAAGACGCCAACATCTCTGACCTCATCTCCATCTCCGGCCATCGCTCCGAATGACCACTTCACCTCCGCCCACACACTGAACGACACAAGCCACAACGGGAAAAGGTACGAACCACACAATCGTTTTCCATATCCAGCCGCACCTGCATCTTCATCCACAACTCCAGCCGGCCACTCCACCTCCGGCTACACCAGACGGTGGCGACCCCACCTCTGTCCACTTCTCTAATCGACGATTCCATTTCAGGTTCGATTTTGAACTCTATCCCGCTTCAATTATAATACTTTCATCGTCGATTTATGCCTTTTTTAGGCATATTGAATACATAGTTTTGAAATTTCATCTTCATTCTACCAGGTTCTTACTTGATTAAATTACAATTTTGAACTTTCTTGTCTGTATTTGTGAGCTACTGTCTACATTGAACTTGCTTAGGTTAGATTTTAGAATTTGAATTTTTCTGATTGTATATTATTGATGTTGTTTTTATTGTTGATCTTGTCTGATGGTGTGTTTTAATTGTTGATGTTGTCCAAATTTACATTGAACTTGCTTAGGTCAGATTTTAGAATTTGAGTTCGAGTTTCTGATTGTATATTAATGATGTGATTTTTTGATTGCTGATCTTGTGTGATGTTGTGTTTTGATTGCTGATATTGTTTTGCTTAATTTATGATTATATATTAGTGATGGTGTTACTGAAATTTACATATTACTGTTGTTTTTTGTTTGCTTCAATGTTGTCTGTTTCTACTTTCTGAATTTGAATTTGAGTTTGAGCTTTTGATTATAACTAGTGATATGTTTCTGTTTTTAGATGTTTTTTTGGTAGATGGAAGCTAATGTTAAATATGAACAATGAGGATTTCTACACAATCTCTCAAGTTGTTGTGAGCAATGCAATAACGAGTAACAATGAAGTTGATGCAAAGTGATAGGTTTGAAGAAGATGGCATCAGAGAAGAAGATGATGAAGAATCTTCTGACAACTTGTTGTGAGCAATGCAATAACGAGTAACAATGAAGTTGATGCAAAGTGATATGTTTGAAGAAGATGACATCAGAGAAGAAGATGATGAAGAATCTTTTGACAACTTTCAAGTACTTTCAAATATTGGTTACCTAATGAACTATTCCAAATGTTTATTGTTTTCTTTTGTTTTTTGTAAGTGGGAATTGTAGGAATTATTGAATTATTTTTATTTTAAGATGATGTTTATTGGTTTTATTTTAAAATGATGATTGTACTTAGTGGTTTAAATTCAAAAAATTCTTTGTTGGTTTAAATTTAAAAAATTCGTTTTTGTTTTTTGCAAGAAATCGTTGTTGGTTTACATTCAAATAAATTGTTGGATTATAAAATACATTGTTGGTTATAATCATGATTGTAAAAAAATTGATAACATTATTAGCAAAAAGTTACAAAAAATTAAAAAAAAAAGTTATATTAAATAACAGTAACAATAGTTTAAAAAAAAAGCTAAAACCTTTGGATAAATGTAAAATTTTAAAACTACACTTATTTAGTAAATATTTTTAAAATTATAACTATATGATAAATACTTTTTTTGAAAACAACGTTTTAGTCAAAAAAAAAAAAAAAACTCTAAAAGAAACTTTTTATATATTACACATAGCGACATAACTGCTACCGTACTTTCGTAAATTTATTATTTAATAGTTCTAATGCTGTACTATTTGTCTTTCACCCGTACACCCCTCTGATCTCAACTTCTATCTCTCTCCCACTTCTATCTCCCCTCCCTTTAAATTAACCACAATCTCTCCTCTTTAGTTTCATTCATCTCTCTCTCTCTCTCTCTCTCTCTCTCTCTCTCTCTCTCTCTCTCTCTCTCTCAAGTTTTGGGTGTGTACAATCTTGAAATTCGCTGTGTTGCTTGTGCAGTTATACATAGAGATACTAACATCTATATCTATATATACACGATCATGGTTGATTGTGAGCTTGGGATAATGAAGGTTGACTTTTCAAAGCCAAAAAGAAAGCGTTTTGGAAGAAGCAATTCACAAGGAGGAGAAATCCGGATGCATGAAGTTGTGGATTTTAGTGGAATGTCTCTGGACACTCTTCCTTTAACTACTAATATCAATTTTGGGCTTGTCTATAAACTGGATATTTCCAACAATAACCTTCAGGTACCCTTTTTTAGTTCACCTTTTTTATTTTATCTTTTTTCACATTTATGGATTACAGACTTTTCTGCTATTTACTATATGTAATCTACGAAATTATATATATATATATATGAAACAAAAATTTTGATAAGAAACAAAACAAATTAACTATTTACATGTTTTTTGGCGAAATAAATGAATGAATCATCAAATGAAATAAAAATACACATGAATTAGAAAAAATTGGTCAAAAAAACATATCGATAAATCATTTTTTTAGTGGCTCAAGCGATGATTATTTTTTCCAACAATTTTATTGAATACTCCAAAAAAATGAATCACCGAACTTCTGGTTTTTTGTAAATAATCTTATATTTGTATCATCTAATCATTCGTGTACTTGTTAATCAAAAAACATGCATTTGATTTATTTCTCAAGATTTCTCACATAATTTTTGTTTGTCAAACACATATATATATATATATATATATATATATATATATATATATATATATATATATATATATATATATATGGATTTAAATTATGTATGTATATTTGTTTTTTAATGCATTAAAGTCTACTTTTCCAAATAATATATTTAAGTGTTGGTGTCAGAACATTTGACATAAAATTTCCAATATTATATTTCTCTGGCCTCCATGTTGGTGTAAATATATAATACCAATAAGTTGACTTTTTGTTGCAAGTATAAACGTTATCACTTATAATATTTGCATCTGATAAAAAAAATTATGATATTGGATGGTGTATTTACAGGTAATTCCAGAGTCATTAACAGCAAGGCTACTAAATATAGAGGTATTAGATGTACATTCGAATCAACTTAAAACACTCCCAAATTCAATTGGTTGTTTGTCAAAACTCAAGACCCTCAACATATCAGGAAACCAACTTCAGTCCCTCCCAATCACCATTGAGAATTGCAGGTTACCGATCGGGAAAACTTTTCTTTAGTGTAATCTTACAATACGAATGATTTGTCGAACTCGTTTTTATGCTTACGTTTTTCTGGCAAATTGCAGAGCATTAGAAGATATAAATGCAAATTTCAACCAATTGACCAAATTACCAGACACCATTGGATTTGAACTCGTAAACCTAAAGAAGCTATCAATTAACTCGAACAAGTTGACCTTCCTTCCATCATCAACCTCCCACTTAACCAATCTCCGCCACCTTGATGCCCGTCTGAACCACCTTCGCTCCCTCCCTGATGACCTTGAAAACCTAATCAACCTTGAGATTCTCAATATCAGTCAAAACTTCCAATACCTTGACGCTTTACCCTACTCCTTAGGTGTCCTCATCTCCCTCGTAGAATTGGACATCAGTTACAACAAGATTAGCATCTTGCCAGACTCCATGGGTTGCCTGAAAAGTCTCCGGAAGCTCAACGTTGAAGGAAACCCTTTGGTGTGTCCGCCACCGGAGGTGGTGGAGCTAGGGTTAGACAAGATAAAACAGTACTTGAGCGAGAAGATGAATGGAGCCCATCAGAACTCTTCAAAGAAAAGGTCTTGGTTCGGAAAACTAAAGAAATATGGCACGTTTAATTCCTCTCGTATGACGCAAGTGGAAAGAGAAGGGTATTTGATGCCTGGTTATCGTACGATTGATGGACTTCCTTCACTTAGAAGCATGGACATGGGCATGTTCTCGCCTCTACGAATTTTCTCGCCAAAAAATTATTTTACCAGATAATTAAGGTTATGAGGCCATCGGTTCTTTTTAGTGCTCAAATATCATTGGAGTAGTACCTTAAAAATAACTCTTTTTAGTCAGGTGGTTAAACGATCTTGCATGTACATAAATAATGTCTTAGATTCAATCTCTTGCACTGTTATTTTAACTATGGGGATATTGTGAGTTAGGTTTCACATTATTGTTGTGATACTGGTTGGTAGAGTTTTTCAAGAGTGGTGTGGAGTTTTTTCTCATTGATTTATCTTTGAAAGTTTTGTAATTTGAAATCATGTATATTTAGGTGTGGAGCTTTCTTTTCAAGGAGTTATCTTTGATTATTTCTCGTAGTTAATGTAAAACAAATTGTAGTATATCACTACTAGAAACTTGAGTTTCAGCGACGGATTTGGCGATGGATAAATTTTGTAGCAATTTTTAGGCTTATGGCGAGGGATTTACGATAGATCTACAATGTTTTAGACAATCACTTTATTTATTGGGAAAAACTCAGAAAAACCCTATGTACTATGCCTCAATGCTTAAAAAAACCTTTAATTTTTTTCTAGGCATTAACCATTATGATTTCTAACTTTGATTTTTTTCAATCTTTGTGACCGGTTAGCCCAAAGCTACCGATAACACAGCTTTTGTATGCATTAACCATAATGCATTAACCACTATTCATCATCCTCTTCATCCGGACCTCTTGAACTGCCGAACACCACCACCTTGTTGTCTCTGTTGCTGTGTTTTTCAGTTCACTCCCACCTCCGAGATCACCGGCTACCACCCAACCACGAACCACCATTAACCGAAACCCACAGCTCACCTCCTCCATTCTGTTTTGCCAAGAACCAAATAATAGAAACAAAGATATTTGTTTTCCTTGTGGTTTCGGATGAAGAAGAAAGAAAAGAAGAAAAAAAATCACTAAACCGGAGACCACCACCCTCGCAGAGCCCACTGTTCATCATCTACTTCGTCTCAAACCTCTCAAACTTGCAACACAAACCAAAAAACAAAAACCAAACAAAAAGAAGAAAGAAGAAAGATGAAGCAGCAAACATAACAAGAAAATAACAAAAGGAAGTCTGAGAATTTCTTTTTGTGTGTTGGTGCTACCGAAAATCAGAACCAAATCGCAAAATTGTTTTTTTTTTTTTTTTGGTGTTGTCGAGTAAACAAGAAGAAAGAAGAAAAAAATTGTGTTTATTTTTTTGTGTCTTCAAACGGCACTATCGAGATCTTAAGCCATTTGCTGCTTCATTTTCAATTTTCAGCATCCACCATCGAGATTGAAAGAAGAAGAATCAAGGACAATGTTCATCGTCCCCATCGAGAACCTGCAACAGAACAAAAAAAATATCGTTTTTTTTATTAAACCCGAGAACCACCATTACCTGTTGCTACTTCTGCTTAGATCCGAAAAAACCAATATCCGGCTATCTTCCAAGAACCATCAACACCACGACTGCGAGAAACACCTTCGATAATCACCTTCAACCATCACCACGAAACCAAAAAAAAAAAAAAAAAAAAAACCTGCGAAAGGCAAGGCTTAAGAACCAAAAAATGGGTTGTCGTAATACCCCCTCACGTAACGGTCTAATCCAATTCCACACCCATTGCCCATTAACGAGTCTGACACTAACCAAGCTATTTGATTACATGGCAAAAAGACGAGGAAATCTCTCCATAAGAATACCATCACCCAACCAGTTTTCATCCCAGAAACGAGTACCTTCACTATTACCGATACACTTCCTAAGACATAAAAAAGAAACAATATTTCTTTCATACAAATACCAAAACAAATTGCTTACAGAAATCCAAACACTCGATCCATTTTGTAACGACGTAAATTTTCAAACAAATTTTTCATTTTAAAATCGCATGTTTTTCATAACATATTGTATAAAAATCCCGTTTATTCAAATTACAAAACACAACTCCATTAATAATCCAGGATCCTCAAAACATAACTCTTTCTCTGGTGTGTACAATCAAGCCGGTGCCGTCCCGCGATCCTGAGAAACCTGAAACACATAACACATAACACGGTAAGCACAAAGCTTAGTGAGTTCCCCAAAATACCACATACAACAAATTCGCCACTCGAGGCTATACTCTGTAGGACCCTCCGGTCCATGTGTCTCAGCGGGACCCTCCAGTCCCGTAGCTCGTTGGACCCTTAGGTCCGGTCTAGCTCGTTGGACCCTCTGGTCCGGTATGGTTGAGCCTTCCAGCCACATAAATCGTTGGACCTTCTGGTCCGGTCAGGTTGAGCCTTCCGGCCTCGTAAATCGTTGGACCTTTCGGTCCGGTCTAAATACTCATAGCATAATATCACATAGACAAGATGCACAACTCAAGCAAGCACATAAGACCTTCCGGTCACACATAAATACCACTCTAGGTAACGTATAGTGAGAAGACTCACCTCGGTTAGCCGGTAACCGACAAGCACTCGGAAATCTTGGACTAGCCTCCGCCTAACACATAAGACAAGCATCTCAATCATTATCCGCCTTATTACTCTTTATACTTTAAATCATCTTTTCCTCTTTTGACCCTCAGGATGGGTAAAAGACCATTTTACCCCTCCTTGGCCCCACCTGCCCCCTTACTGGTCCACTCATGAAGTCAACAGAAGTCAACCTGGGTCAACATTCTATGTTGACCTGACTCGCCGAGTGCACACCTGTGACTCGCCGAGCCCCCTTGAATTCTCCATGATCTTCCTAGGGTTCGCCCAGCTCACTAAGTTGAATCCCAACTCGATGAGTCAACACTGGCCAAGGCTACTGAGTCACACCCGCTACAACTCGCCGAGTCATCCCATGGACTCGGCGAGTTGGCTCCATTGGGTTACTCACTCAGCCACCTGAGGTCAGATCTGTAGCTCTAACTCATAGATCTAACCTCCTACTACCCAAAAGTCGCGTAAAGGTCCGATCTTGATGTCCATGCATGGTGTATTTTGCATTATAAACCATAAAAACTCCATTAATGGTTCCTAGCTTCAAAGCCCAATGGTTGCTCCACCATGGCTTCCCACTTTCGGACTCTCTGGACCCTCCAAGGTCCAGATCTATGCTATCAGCTCATAAGAGGGGTTTGATGCATTCAAAACCCCACCAAGAAGGTAATACAAGCCCTAATCCACAAAAGAAATATCTACTCAAATAGGGAAGAAATGGGTCCGAATTAATATCTCCAACTGATGCTCCTTGGTTGCAAATCGCGGATCTACAACCTCTTCTGACCCCTTTGGCTTGAAACCTTCCTCTTCCTTGCAAGACACCCACCAAGAAGCTCAAAATGGCTCTCTTTCTTGCCCAAAGCACTCAGGACTCGTTTAGGGTCTTCTCCTCTGAAGGGTAGCCGCAATAGGAGACCTTAAGTGCCTTTAAATAGGCCCAGTGTCACGGGATGACTCTTTTAGACTAGTCAATACCGTGTGCCACTTAGCGCTTCTCCGACTAAGTCAGACTAACTTCAACGATCTAGATGTACTAACGAACTTATGAAGTAAGAGTTACGACAAAGGGACACTTCAAGAAAGCTTCTGTTATATAACTCAACTTCTTTACAATGCAACTTCTCGATGATTCCTACAAATGAGACATCATTCCTATTTATAGACACCTTACACCTCCTCAAATGGGAGTTTCTAGGTCCCGTATATTCTCGACTATTCTAGAGTATTCTATCAATATCTACATTATCTTTACAAGACTCCACATTATGATACACTATTCTATAATGTTCTAGATATCTCTAGGATGTTATGATATTATCCAAGTTATTCTTGCATGATCTAGCATTTTCTAGATCGTTCTTCAGTCTTCCGAGTCATTCTAGTTTCGTCAAGTGTCGTCTTGATTATTTCGGGGACTCCTCGTGTATTCTTTATAGTTCCAACATTTTCTACACGGTCCCGGAGACTTCCAGAAAATTTGTCTGTGACACCCTCCCCCACTTAAACCCTTGACGTCCTCGTCAAGTCTTCTATACATATATCTCGATCTTGTCACGGAGTTACTTTGTGTCTTTTCTTTTTCTCCAGGGTATCTCTTCGAGTAAGGCATGCTTTTATTTCTCAACGTACCTTGAATCATACTTCTTCTGTCAGCCTCGTAAAGTCTTGAGTAAATCTTCAAGTGGGATATGGATCCCTGTTCCTTCGATTGTGTCTCGTTTACTCGAACTTCCCCTTTTGGCTTCATATTCTCCTTGATCTTATTACTTTGTCCATAACACATGTGAATACTTCCTTCTCTCTCGGGGCCTTTATGAAACTTCATGGTTGAAAGGGTTCGGGCTTTTGTCTTGCTTCTTTCCAAGGGAATGATATAGATTGTTGATCCCTTGGTTATACGCATGGTGTTGTCTCTTTCGAACGACCAAGGACGTACCTTATCCAGGAAGTCCATTCCTAGTACCATGCGATAATCGTCTATCGGAACCACTATCAAGTCGATGGTTCCTTCCCATTCTGCAATCTTCATGGGTATTCCACGAGAAACTCCAAGGATCGGATTAGATGGAGAGTTGACAACCTTTAACCGACCTAACTCCTTTGTATAATGAATACCCAACTTCTTGGCTTCCTCCTCTGCGATGAAACTATGTGTTGCTCCGGAATCTACTAGCGCCTTAGTGTTCCTTGCATTCACTTTGGCTTCGACGAACATGAGACTCCCTCCTTTATTTTCTTCCTTTTTAGATGATTTTCTCTCACCCTTCGATATTGAGTTTAGAAAACGCATTGAGCTTATTTGTGCTTCATCGTCTTCTTCTTGCAAAACCATTGCGTAGAAGGTCTTTTTCTTTGGGCAATCTCGGATCAAGTGAGGACCATCACATAGGTAACACTTGACCTCCTTCCGTTCTCCATTTTTATTTCTTCCTTCTATTTCTTTTCCCTTTGAATTCGAGGGTTGGGGTGCGTCTTGCTTTGTGTATGATTCCAATGTTGATTGATCTCCCACACTAGTTTTCTTAACCGTGGTTTCTCTTCGAAATTCCATTAAATCTTCTGCCACAGCGATAGCTTCGTCAATGCCTCTCACATTTCTCCTCTTCAGCTCACTGTCGGCCCAAGATTGTAGTCCATCCATGAAATAGAAAAGCTTGTCTTTCTCCTGCATGTCGGGTAACTCCAACATCAAGCTCGAGAACTCGACTATGTAGTCCCGGATGGATCCAACATGCTTTAACCCACGAAGTTTCTTCATCGCTATGTCTTCAGCATTATGTGGGAAAAATTGTCTCTTAAGTTTCCTCTTGAACTCTTCCCATGTGTC